AGATTACAAGTAAATGAGTCGCATGTTCAATGTGTCAACTTAAAGATAGATAGTTTTATGGAAGCGAAAAAAGCACTCTCACAAACCCTACAAAAGCCGAGATAGTGAAGTGTAAACAAATCAACGACTCAATGAATAGACACTATATAACATATCTAAGGAAGAAAAATAGGCTTAGAATGATAATTTAAAACATGCTCAAGATGCAATGCTTATTTCTCACACGCATACATTTGTATTTGTTTAACCGAATAAAGGGTTTGAATTTGGAAATTAAATTGGAATTTTTGAGAATTTAGGATTCTTGACAATTAGGATTTTAGAATTTGGAGATTTTTGTTGTGGATTGAAATTGAGATTGAATAATAGAAAGGAAGGATAATGGAACTTAATTAGAGTTTCAATTCGAGTTTAAACCCCGAATTAAACCCGAATTAGACTAGATTAAAACCTAGGATTTCTAAGATATATAACGACGAGTAAAAATTAAAAGTTTCGAAAATACTCGACTCATTTAGATTTGAATTGGCTTGATCTCAAGAGAAATCAAGGCAATTAAGGCCATTTGAAAGGAAAAATTGAAAAATCAAAACTTAGGGTTTGGCCAAATTGGAGAAAATTTTCAATTTGAGATTTGATCTAATTGGAAGAGGGCGATTAGTAGAGTGAGAGGGAAAGAAGGATTGAGAGAGAAAGGAGAAGAGAAAGAACCGTAAATATCCGGTTCGTTTCTTCTATAGATTGGCGTAGAAAAAGAGAAAAACAAAAAGATGAGGTCGAGAGAGAGGAATAAGAAGAACGAAGACAAAAAAAAAAAAAGGAGAAGAAGAGAAAAAGGGACAAACCAAGTAAGGAAGGCGAGAGAAAGAGAGGAAGAAGAAGAATGAAGAAAAAGGAAAAGAGAGAAAGAGAGAGATAGAGAGAACGAACCGATGAGGAAGATGAAAAAAGAGAAAAAGGAATGAGTTTTATCAAAAAAGTAAAAGAAAGAGTTTTATTTGTGTTTTTGGATTAGGCTAAGCCCAACCCTTGTGTGACTGGGCTGGATTGATTCCACCATAGTCTAAAAAAAAAAAAAGGGAAGAAAAGAGTTAGGTCAGCATTGATTTCATACAAATTAAGGATTTTTTTTTGTCTTATTTAGAAGATAAGTAAAAGAAACTAATCCTTAATTTGTATGGTATAATTAATTTTTTTCAAGTTTAGGAGTTCTTGATATATTTTAGAAAAAACAAATTACAAAAAACCCTAAAAGAAAAAGATGGAGTTTTTATTATTCTTAAACTGTTCACACACTCATAAACATTTTTGTTATTTTAAGTTTTTTTATGTACTTATTCCGCCCACATTACAAAGAACCCCAAAGTTTTACTATGTTGTTTTTTGTTCCCTCATTTTTTTAACAATTTTTATTTCGATTTATAATTTTATTTATATTACAATCTGGTTGCTAATTGCTAAAAGGAGAGAGAAACGAAAAAGGATAAGGGAGGAGAGAGAAATCTATTTTAAAGTAGTTTTTAGATAATTTGTCTTAGATTTTTTTTTGAAAAAAATATAAGAAAAGTTTTTAGTTAAGAGTTCATGAATTTTAGAATTTTTATTACAAGTTATCGGTTAAGAATTTGGATATAAAAAAATAAATTGTGTTCTTTTTACTAGAAAATTTATAAAAAACATAATATATATTTTGTTAAACACGAATTTTTTTTAAAAAAATAATAGTTTTGTTTTTATCTTCTAATTAATATATTTTAGTAACCAATAATATGATACATACCATCAAATTAAAATTATTTTTTAAAATAAAATTTTATAAGTTTTATCCGAATCCGAATCCGAAGCGTAGCTTGGGTAAAATACCAGTACCTACTAGCGTATATGAGTATTACATATCTGGTCCTTTAATGCTCATGTCAGGTATTATGCTTTTTCACACATTGTGATTGTAGTCGTATTTTTATTAATGTGATTCCTTATATTGCTAATTGGGTCATTATGTTTGTTAACAAGCACGGAAGGACAATGTTCTCTGAACATCTTTCTCAGTCGATGAGGAACAAATTGTGCAGCATCATAGTCAAATGTTATCCGCGTGAATCTTGCACCTGTCTTGTCTCTCTCTCTGTGGAGCTGTTTGTGGTGTTCACATTATATCTGGTACAATTTGGTATGGGCATTATGCCTTAGGTGAAGAGAATTGTGCTCAAGTATGCTTTTGTCTGGCATGGTTGAGAAGCCAAACTATTTGAATGTTCACTATCGTTTATGGAAATGCTTCTGGTCCAGGGCACTCAGTGACGAGACTTCTGCAGGCTTTGCATATGATAAGGGTAAATTCTTCTCGTTATATATGTGTACCCATCTGTTCGTGATTTTGTGTTGCTATTGAGTCTTGACCGATCGAGGTTGCTTTCATTGATTATTGAAGTTAACCACATGCTTTAGAGCCTGCCAAGTTTATAGCTTTCATAATGTCTCGTTTGCATACATCTGGAAATGCCATTAGAGCCTTAAACCCTGATTCATCTATTTTCCCAAGACTTACATATTGCTGAAAATAAAAGGTTGATTGCTTGTGGTCCAAATATTCATAGGATTGATATCTATGCTGTATTCTAGGAAGATGCGTGTGAATTTATACTTATCCTCAATATCTATTTTTTGTCATAGTAACTCAATCGGCATCGTCATTACTAATAGGGTCATGCTCGATAGTTGGTTTTCATTTCTGCAGTTTTTTTCATTTACTTATGGCAAATCTTCTGATCTTTCTTTGTTTCTATATTTTTCAGCTGCTTCATTGCTGACAGAACCAGAGAAGTTGCGAAAGGAAGTCCTCTCAAATTGTTTGGTCCAGTATTGTCAGTGACAGGAAAATCAAAAAATGAATATATGTCATGAAGATGAATCTAATAAAGTTTACAGTTATATTGATGGAGTAGTTAGATTTTCTGGATTTCTTTTTTTCCTTCAGTAATGTGTTTGTAACGAGAGTAAAGAACAAAAATATACCATCAGATTTCATGCAAGACTGGCCTGAAGTGAGAAACATGAATAAAGAAGAAGGAAAAAAAAAAAAAAAGCCCCTCGCTCAAGATAATGTTGATTTTCTTGTAGTCCATAGAAGGCATGTACGATCATCAGATTTTTTTTTGTTTTTTTGGGAAGCACACAGAGTTGATCTTATCTGAATTTGGATAGGTATTGTTGTAGTGGATGAGATTTTTTTTTTTTTTCCTTTATATAGATAGAACTTTGTAGTCATTATCCAGACTGCAGTAAGATTAGTTAGTGAAGTAAGAAAATCATATGATCATGACATGATTGTATTATCCACACCAATACAAAAGGGTGTTTGAATTCATGACTTTATAAATGCAAACAGGCCGTAGCATTAGACCATAATTATGTTGGTTAACCTAGATAAATTAATCCAAAATCAATTTGTATTATATGCCAATTTCGGCTAATAAATGCATCATCAGACACTGAAAAAAAAAAAAAAGTCGAAAAAGAACATCCTATTGGCCATTGTAATGGGGATGGCAACTCTAATCCATATGTTGAAATGGGAAAGGAACCCATGAAATACCCATAGCCTCTATCAAAATTACTAAAAATACTAGGAACTTTCTGGTTATTGCTTGCTAATGTTGGCCTTCACTGGACCACAGAATTTGCTTGTGGCTCCAATTTGTCCTTCAAAAATTTCTCTGTCCTGGTTCCCTTTCGCACCACCAACAGCCCATTTATAACCAACTTCCATTTCAACTTCTCACCGTCGAGACTAGTCAGTGCCTTCTCTCTTCAGGTTGGTTTTTTAACTCTTCAGTTTCTTTTCATTTCTTGCTCTCAAGACTCAAGCTTGGAGTTGCCTTTTGCTCATGCTCCTGCTTTGTAAATTTATTCTTAGTTATGCTGTGATAGTCTCTTACGCTTTTTTACCATCTGGGTTTCTTTTATTTCTTCTCTGGAATCTGCCATTTATGTGTACAAACTTGAAGATATCATCTTTTTCTTTTTTTAATCTTGACCAGTGGCTTGGTTTTTGCTTCTCATAGTCTTTCTTTGCACTGTAGTTTCTTTTTATTTGGATTAACTAAATAATTTAACTGTTATTCGGGAGGCTTGCATTATCTGACGAAAAAAAAAGAGAGGATTAATTTCAGCAAATTTGGTCGCCGAGTTTCTTGATATGGAATTGGGAATGCTTTTCAAGCTCTGAATGTAAAGCCCTAATTCGAAAATTCTATGTCTACATGATTCTTAAAGAAAGATTTCATGCCTAAATGAATTAGGAAAGTTGCTTTGTTGCAAAATCAAATGCATGGCATGTGTGTGACAACTATAAGAACTGAAGCGTGGCTTTCTAATCTTGGTTCTGGAGCAAAAGTTTATTTCAATATGCTAACTTTTCATTCTAGTTTTAGGAACAATCAGTTCTTGAACCTGCTCTTGCTTTACTTGGTTCATCAGAAGTTATGTATATAAGATTACGGTATTTGTGATATGCGTTCAGTTACTCATTTTTTGAGATCCAAGGTATCAATCATTTGGCACTTAGAATGTCTTAAGATTTTAGTTAGGCATTTGGTAATCCAATTGGTAGAATGTGGAGAAGACATTCTTCCAGATCATGCCTATTAATTTAACCTTGGTGCTGGAAATTGCATTTTATCTGTCAGATCAGAAATGCATATAATTTGTTGGATCAATACAGATTGAATTCATTGTTTTTTATATTCATGATTTTCAGAATCAATATCTTTTAAAAAAATTGGAATAATGGGGATCAAGATGCTTTGATATTACATGATTCGCATCAAATGGATATGAATTTTTACTGTTATGAAGAATAATCCTTCTTTTATGAATGTTCTCTTAGAATTTATCTACTGTATACAATGCCTAATAGTGTTTTTGTTCTCACTTAAGCTTTGAACTGTTGTAAGGGAAATGCTGGCTGGTATCATTTTATTCTTGTCTTGATCTTTCCCATGGCACTGAATGCAAGCAAGGTTTCAAGCAGCGCTTTGGTGAATCAAAGGAAAAATACCTCTACGTCTCATGAAATCACATTTTCTTTTTCCAAGTCAATCCAACAAAGTAAACTATGCCCTACTTACCAAGGAATCGAGCTTCAGAAACTGAGCAGTAAACATCTCTTGACAACAAAGTCAGCCTTCTCTGGTGAGAGTTTGTGGGGAATACATGGAAAACCAATTAGTTTCATAATCTCTCGCAGACCTTCCACATTATGCCTGTCGACACGAACTCATAGAACTGAAGAAAAAGAATATATTAGACCTTACAGTGACAATTCCAATGTATCCAGGTCAGATTATGTAAACTATTACTTGGATTTCTCCACTTGCAATCTACACACATGCATGTTAAGGGCATCCTCACATTTTATCATTAGAATTTGCCTTTATATTGTTAATGCTTCAATTTCTCTGTGGGAAATAAGTAATTTTCTTCCTCTTGTAATGTTGATTACGATGTTAATTAGTTGTACAGAAGAATGCTTATTTCATATGATTTGAGGTTAACAATAATGTGTGCTTCTAACTATGGAATATGGGTGTTAGAAATACAACGCTTAGCACCTCAGGAAGACGATTAGTTATGCCAATGTTTGTGAAGATATTGTATCTTCAGTATGGTCTGAAGTACATCCCAGGTTTAATTTTACCAGTTATAAAAGAGATAAATGCTGAAGAATACATGATTTTGCTTCACTTCCTTTAGAAGGAAGTCCAATTGCAGCTCAGAAATATGGCACACCTTGTATCTATCTGAATGAAAATTCTCTTTGTTTAGCTGCCAAACCAGGGCCAGTCGTCAATGTTTCTTTTGTTCTTTGGTTCAAGTTTCCAGTTTTGTGTTATTTGAGTGCGTAACCAGTGCCAATGTGCCCCTTGCCCCATTATTTTTCTGGTCCATGTCTCTTTCTATTTGAATCTATTTAGCCTTTGGATTATTGGATCTTTGAATTTACAGTACAAATAAATCATTGTGATCAGGACACAAATTGGAGACAAGGATGATGAGCATCCAGTCATGCCTAGGAGAACTATTCACTCATCTCATGCTTTAGCTGAAGCTTGTAAATTTGTACATAATGATGCCAAGTTTGTAAATGAAAGGGCTCGTAACGACATCACTTTACTATCACGGTAATGTACTGTACCATATCTATGTGCCATTTCGTGGAAAAGTTTGATTCTAAAGTTGGAATACTTCCAGGTTTTGATGAATGATAATTAATGCATGCATAATCTCCAAAACCAACAAGTTCTTCACATTCTATCAAATTATGGGAAACTTCTAAACAATATTACCTATAATTTTAGTTTTTCCGAGAAAAAATATGATGTGCAGAAATGTTTCATTTAGTTGTGTTTAAAATATTGGATGGACAGTTTTATAGCTGTTCGTCCTGATGCAATTGTTTTTTATTTCATGCCCTTAATTAATAAATATTACCTCCACGGAGAGAGACCTTTGCTCATTATTTTCCAATTTTCTTCAGTGGGATTCTAAGGCTGGATGCCCGTGCACGTAAAGATTTTGCTATTCTTGGGTCTGGGTTTCTTAAACTCAATGGTAAGTTCTCTGATCTTGCTGTCCAACATGAATCAAAAACTATTAAACCAAGGCATTTAAAATGCCATGCATCCGTCAATGCCGAAAACCAGATCAGATTAATCAATTTCATGAAGACGCAAATGAATCCATTTTCTTTCATTTATGTTAATATTTGTTCACAGTGATGGATTTATCTTCTCTTTTTTCCTGGATGGTTGCTTTTTTTATTACATTTTTAGGCAATGGCTTCTTTTTCCTTTCTATTTTTTTCAGAGGGGCTTGACAAAATGTGATAGGAAGCAAAAATGGAATTATATTCTTTTTGGATGATGCCCTTGATGTCTCTGATTTAATTGTTTTCCAAATTCTGCTTTTTCATGCATAGACCTTGCAGCACGAGCAAGAGAGGACACTGAGAAAATTGACCGTGATGTGAAGGAAAAGGCTGAACGTCTTCATCAAATTGCTACTGTATGTCAATCTAGAATAAATTTGCACATTCTGAAAGATAAAGAGAATTTCTTACTCTTGCGTCTAAATTTTTGTATGAATATTTCACTTTGCTGCAGATCATAAAGGATAGAGCTGAATCCAAATTGAGAACTGCTGCTGACAAGCACTGGAGTGATGGTGCCTTGGAGGTAGTTCCCTCTGGTTCTCTTTTTATATTTTTCGTTCATTCTTCATCCAATGAATGCAACATTAAAAGTATAAATGCATTTTTCCTAGTGATGCAAAATCTGAAATGTTTCAACTTGATGGAAATTTTGCAGGCTGATTTGCGCCTTGCCGACTTCCGTGCCAAGCAACGTGCAATGGAAGATGCTCTTATGGCGTTGGAGGTGAGCTGATTGCCAATTCTTTCTTAATATGCAATACTGATGTTTGGCAGATAACGTTGTGGGATAACTTGTAAGATCATCTCTTCGTTATAGTTTTTCATGCCCAGCACCACGTTACCTACTTTGTTTTTGTACTTACTATAACTATCCAAATATAACTGAATGTAAGGTTTTACTATTCTGTGCCTCTTGCAAAGAATAATGAAACTTTATCCTTGGGTGGTAACAGTTTGTCAAAAATATCAATGACTTGATGGTGAGCAAGATGTACAAATTGTGAGTTCTTTTGTTGATGTATTGTCTTCTTTGTACATTGATTTCCATTTTTCCCCTTTCTTATATACAAAATTACTCATGCCTGAATTGCTATTTCCTGGCGTGCTTTTGGGCATCAGTCCCCTGGGTAAGGAAGAAGGTTCACCCACTGCTAATGACATGCTGGGAAATATAAGGCTTGAGAAAAATGGAAGGACGCTAGACTTCTTCCCTGGAGAAGTATCAAAAGATCGCATTACTGCTATTCAGGTCCTTTTTCATGGTCACAATATTATCTTGATGCAATTTTCCTTTTCATTTGTCTTACAAAATTGTAAATCTAATGTCATTTCATCTGATAATGAACAGGAAGCGTACTGGAGTATGGCATCTGCACTCTCTGAAGCCGATGGAGTTGATTATACTGATCCTGAGGAGGTTTGAAACTGCACTCATGTTTCTGTTATGACAAGGCAATTGATCTGATTCTGGTTTCAATGTTTGCTTATGTACCTGCTCTTTCCTGTCTGGAGCAGCTTGAGTTGTTGGTTACAACTCTCATAGATCTTGATGCAATGGATGGTAAGAGTAGTGTATCGCTATTGGCAGAATGTTCAAACTCTCCAGATGTCAACACAAGGTAATCTTCTTGAGAATACAATAACCCAATAAATACCATTTTTTTCTGGTATTCAACTACAATTTTATATGAAAAGGTTTGTGTTTTCCTCTTGAAGAGGCACTTATTAGTTATTACCCTCGTTGTATGTCTTGCGAATTCTTCGGCTCTTAGTTTTTTTTTTCCTGCTAATACCAGTTCTCAACAAGTTCAACTTTGAGCTCTGAAATGTTTGATCATTGTCAGTAGTGCGATGTCCTGTGTGATCATTGTCAGTAGTGTAACCATTACTCTTAACACTTCAAGCTAAAAGTGTTGATACTTGCCACTGTGACTATAGTTGCTTGTCTTTCTGGACTACTTATGGAATCAGTGCCATGGGCATTGTCACCTGTGGCCTAAAACATTTATATGGTCCTTTGCATCATAAGCAACAGTTATAATAGGTATTACTTACTATAATACGGAGAACTCTAGGTTACTAATCATGCTTCAATCTGAATTCTGAAGGAAGTAAACAATGTCGATGGAGCGCCAACATGAAAACCTATAAGAATTCGACACAAATAACTTTCACAAGAAGTATCCATTCCTGCATATTTTTTCCCCCTATTTCTCGTCTATAATTCAGTTAAATTTCTGTGGTACAGACAAGCACTGGCCAATGCATTGGCAGCAGCCCCATCAATGTGGGCTCTGGGAAATGCAGGCATGGGAGCTTTACAGGTACTTCAATTTTCTTTAAAAAAACAAAATGCTGCTTTGCTTTTCTTGATGGAATTAATTGCAGTTACGATTTTTCTTGCAGAGACTGGCAGAAGATAAAAACCCAGCCATTGCTTCTGCAGCATCAAAAACTATCTATGAGCTGAAGAAACAGTGGGAGATAGAGGAAGGAGATAGTTGGATGTTTATGATGAATCAAAAACCAGTTCAAAAAGGAGATATCCAAGAGGACAGCAATGATGCAGATACGGATTGACAATTACATCAGACACTTATACTCTAGATATCTACATGTAGGTTTAAATAGCTGCAGGCTAACCCCATTTATCACCAGCAAGTGATGGGTGATATTGTAATGTAAAAGGCTGTCATGTTCTAATGGTGCCTTGTTTTCATCATGTCTAAGTTGTGCTTAACTTTGAAATGTACTTTGCACATTTCATATGATTGATCTTTCAGGATTCAAAAAAGGTGGTCTTAATGTGTAAAGGCAGGGCATGCTAAGATGCTAAGACGGAAAAATGTATGACTGTTGCCTAAGAGTAATGCCTAAGATAATTTTTCTAGCTTTTCTTAATTATGAAATGACTTGGCATTTTGTGATTGGCGCATCATTTTTCATTCCATCAATAATTATAGAAAACTAACTACAAGATGGTAGCTCACTGGTAAGTAAGGATCGACTTTTAAATCATGTTCAGAGATCACTTCTGAGAATTTATTTTCAAAATATTCAAAATCATGTCTGAGAATTTATTCTTAAAATATTAAAATATTCAAAATCATGTTTTGGAAAGTGTTCTTTATCTATGTTCAATTGAGGAAATAGTTTCAAAGTACGTGAAAGTTGACGGAGGGATATTTTTATTGCTAAATCTAAAAATAATAATTATTATTATAGAAAACTGTTATGAACCTAGAATATAAAAACTCAACGTAATCAGAACATAAAAATTCAAAACGTATTCTTTTTCCAGTGTCAAAAAGTGCATCAAGATTTGAAGGGAAACTTCAAAACAGTTGCAAATCTCAAGTTGGAAAAGAAAATTAACATTTTTGAAGCTACTTCTTTCTATCTTTTCTGCATTGTAGTTATGTCCGCACACCAACGGTGCACTTAATGCCTTCATTGATCTCTCATGACATAAGCTTCCATGTCCAGGCACCAAGGCAATGAACCTAGAGGCTTAACAACACCCAGATCCATAGTTTTAAATCATAGACTGAGCTGTAAAAATAACCCTGATAAGAATTGCGGATCACCCATGGTAGTAAAATAATAATAATGATAGCAATTCATATCGTAAATTTATTAACTTACTATCAATTGTTAGTAAATTTATTCTAATTCATATATTTTTAAAAATTTTATTAATTAAGTATAATAATAATATCTCTAACAATTTAATATCATGCAATAATAGTTGAATTCATTATAAAAGAGAAATAATAATATTTTTAATAGTTTAAAATCACAGAAATAATAATAAATTACAAAGAATTAAATTACTACAAATAACAGTAATGATATATAACATTGTTATTTGTATGAAACGTCATAATCTTATAGCAATAACGAACATAGCAGAATCTGTTATGTAACAGTTATTACGTAATATAATAACAATTACTTAAAGCTATGCTTCTATTTCTTTTCTTTTCTGTAAGAGGTCTTGGTTTCAGGCATAAAAAACGTACACATTTGATCTCATTCCTGTTTGTGTCACGCCATTCTTTGTACTTCATGCATTTAAACATTAAAAAAAAAAAAAAACCCTCTATTATGTATGTACAGTTCATGAATAAGCTATGTTTGCAAGATAAATAAATAAATAAATAAATGGTGGCATTCAAGTTCCAAACACCAAGCGAAGAGGAACATCCCACATGCCAATAGTTGGAAAAGTCCAAAATGGACCGAGGTTAGGTACTTGGGTCTAGTATTGGACCCATAATCATCTTATGGGCCTACTCAATTAACATCACAAATTCACATGACAACAGCCGATCATCATTTGGGCCCACAAAATGGTGGGTTCCATATCCCACAAAGGGTTGATCAAGAAACCAAGAAACACGGTACAGTAGGTCCATCACTGGACCTAAATTCCTTCAAAAAAATTGAAAAAAAAAAAAAAAAACCAGTAGGACCCTTCCCTCTTGTTAATTTCTCTGCGCTCATCCACTTTTAGACTTAGGGCAATAAGCTTTGAGAACACAAGAAAAAGTGAAAAAAAAATGTTTAATTTAATAGGTTAAGTATGATTAGCTTTAGTTAGATTCCTTGATTAAACAGTGGTTATCATACTTAATTCCAGGAAAAAAGTAAGAGAAAACTGAGGCACCAAAAAGCAAAAGCAGGAAAAGAGAGGGACCAATCCATGATCCCACCATATTAATTACAGCTTTATTCATAGAAAAAAAAAAAAAGGCTCTTTGGTCACCATCACCATCCCCTACTCTGATCCACTCCACCTCTCTTTTTTCCACGCACTTTTTCTTTCTTCTTATAGCCTTTCCACACTGTCTGCCACTGTTTGACACCTGTCTTTCATCATTCCTTCCTCCTTTCACTTTTATTTTAAAAATAGAATCCCAAGTTTTTCTTTCTTTTTCTTTTTTTTTTTAGTGCATGAACTTAAAATGTACTATTCCTTTTGATTTTATAATTTATAAATAAAACTTCACATCAAAAAATTAAATGTATGCTTATGAAAATAGACATTCTTATCTACTTACAAAATAGTAAACTCGTTTAATTTTTATATATATATTTTTTTAAATTCGAGCAGGATATCTCAAATTTAAAAATCTAAACTAATATTTTATTGTTTTGTCGGATATATAAAACAAATAAAGTTATTTGAGGAGTTTTCTACACTCACGAAGTTTCGAATTCGAGAATTTTGAGAATTTTTAGGGTTACATTTTTCTAATTAAATTTTAGTTGTATAATTTTTAGGGTTGTTTTTTATCAATAATTGAGTTATACAACTTGACCTAATTTTCCTACACTTCTTTGTTTCTTTACCAATTTATTAGGCCTTTCTTTTTTATCTTAAATCTCCAAATTTATGTAAACATTAATGAAATTTGATCTCTATTAATTTTGCTGAACACTAAATGACTTTATCATCAATCCTTAGGTGCTATCATAAAAATTCTTCTCAATAAGGTAATTTTTTATTTATTACCTATCCATACATTTTGTTAGGAAAACGTGGGTAAATAGTGAAAAGTAATTTATAAAAGTGGCAAAGTAAAACAACCCATGGAAAAAAAAAAAAAAAACAGCTGTATGGGTTGAATTATTCAGTCTTATTTATACTTTATTTGTTATGTAATTCTCCATTCACATTTAAAAGAAAGTAAAAATCAATTACTAAAATTATAAAATAATAATAATAATAATATCAAATGCAAAAGAGAGCGTCTGTCTAACTGTGCCATTGCAGGTGGGCCAACCCATTTATAAAAAAATGGGCCCACTAGCTCAATTCATGTGGAAGAATGTGGGCCATACCTTCCGCATGGTGTAACCCAAATCAATTCAGGTGGCCCCCCATGGCTAATTTACATATGTTTGTTTGGCTACAATGTTAACCTTATTCTAATTGTTTTTTTTTTTTATTATTATTATTCCTTTTTGGGGCGTGTAATACCAAAAATTAAAAGTGTATTTCTACATAGTAACTTGATGGTATATATAGATATTAAAACTAAAGTAATTATGCGAATCAATCATGATACATTATTATGAATCAATATCTTTTTATTTTATATGCACATATTAATATTATCAAAAAAATCATTCTAATCTAAAAATTTAACTCGTTGGATGAGATCCTAAAATATAATTTATATTATTTTATAATATGTTTTTTTTTGTATGAAATTTCTTTTAGTCCGAAACTTGGACAAGCCCACATTACTTTGTGCTTAATTAAAAAAAAAAAAGGAGTGATGAGATTCGAATTTGTAATCACTTGGTCATCAAAGTTCCGATATCATATCAAAAACTATCTTAATCCGAAAACTTAAATTATTAAACAAGACTTTAACATATAATTTATATTATTCTCTAACAAGTATATCATATATATATATATATAACATAATTGCTTTGTACTTAATTAAAAAAAGTTCTTTTAGTTTAAAACTTACATAAGCTCATAATTGCTTTGTGTTTAATTATGAAAAAAAAAATGATGAGATTCAAATTTATAATCATTTGGTCATGAACGTTCGATAACATGTCAAAAACTATCTCAATTTAAAAAATTAGATTATTAAACGAGACCTTAATATATATATAACATAATTGATATATATGTGTGTATGACACGAATGATATACTTAACACTACAATGTATATAATGTACGTGAATGCAATGAAAACATGACATAAATCCATGAATTTGCTACCATTGTTGTCATGATTTTTGTTAAACAAATATAGTAATTTAAGATGACGATTTTGGTAGATTATAAAAAACACGGCAAGAGTAAACCTCAATCTTTATCCAAGAATTGAGTGAGCATCACCCTTGTTTATGTAATAAATGTGACACATGCAATTATTACATTTACAACTCACCATATTATAAGACGTAATTAATTTACTGTTACTATGAGCAAAATCAAAACATTCTGAAAAAGCATCACTGCTTCTCTTACAACAACTCTCCCTTTGTTCCTTCGTCAAAAACAACAGAAGCAATTCTTCATTCCCTCCTCCCTCTTTAACCTCTCTCTCCTTCCTCTCTCCTTGTCTGGCCACTGTGAGTAGCAAAGGACTATAGCAGCAGAAACCATGGCAGGCAACAAGTTTGCAACCATGCTGCAAAGAAACACCCACAAACTGACCGTAATTCTAGTGTATGCAGTTCTTGAATGGATCTTGATCGTTCTCCTACTCCTCAACTCTTTGTTCACCTATTTGATAACCAAGTTTGCAAAATATTTTGGCCTTAAAAAGCCTTGCCCGTGGTGTTCCAGGATTGATCATATGTTGGAGCCTGGAGAAAACACGAACTCTCATAAAGATCTTGTATGTGAGACTCATGCAACTGAGATTTCCAAACTGAGTTATTGCTCAAATCATCAAAAACTGGCGGAAACGCAGAATATGTGCATGGACTGCTTGGCTTCTCGGCCAAATCACAGCGACCAGTCTGTTGGAATGACAAGGAGGATTGCTTTCTTTTCATGGGTGAGCAAGGATGCAGTTGAAAATGGTGAAAATATTGTCAGGTACTGTTCTTGCTGCAGTGAGAGCTTAAACAGCAATGTCTACCCTCCTTGTTTGCTGTTCAAGCCTTCCTGGGATGCTTTGAAGTATAGCAAGAAAGGAAATTTGATCGCAGAAGAGATGGATGATGAAAAAACTGGAATTGACTGGAAGGAAATAAACAAACTTGATTGCTTGGCCCATTATACTGACCATGAAGACAGCAATGAGGTCGAAGGGGATGGTGGGGAAGACCAACAGGAAGACAAAGAGGCTGTAGATGAGCATCAAATGCCATCTGATGTTGGGAGTTTTGGCCTCAAAGATGCAGTGGAGGAAGACTATTCGACGTTTGAATCAAACTTGCAATGTGATGAAAATGAAGCTAATATTATGGAGAATGACTTGTACGGTATGAATTCTATCCATCAAGATTTTGATGACAGTATGATTGAATATTGTTTTGCCAAGGACGATTCTTTTGAAATCATCAATCAGCATTTGGAGAGAAATCTTGGCTGTGACTCGAGTCGCTTAATCCCTGTTGAATTGATTGATTCATCAACCACTGCAAACCGTGAATCATGCAAATTAAAGGAAGATCTTGCCAAGCACGTTCATCAAAATGGAACTTCTGATTCTTCATCACACATTGAAGGGAATAGCAAAGAAAAGACAAGTTATGCAGATGTTGAAAGCGTGGATATAGCAATCGATTGCTGTGAGAAATCTTCAGTTTCAAATCCCACAGAGATGAAAATCGATTTGGATGGCGAGGCACCTAAACAAGTTATTTCTCTAGATGAAGCTCAAACATTATCCCTTGGTGGAAACAATGTGGACATAGCAGTAACAGAAGAACCAGATGAGCTTCCAGGTATAGAATAACTATTCATTTATAGGAATCTCGGTCATTACTTTTCTTCTAATTTTATTGGTTGTATATTCCATATTCCTTTCATGAACATTATTTGCTTAACTAACGTTGTGCGATTATCTAATCAAAAAGCAGCTTATGAGGAAGAAATTAATGACTCCAAGGACTTCATAGAGTTCTCTGATTTTGCAACCAATGAACTTCAATCTCAAGAATCAACAACCCTGACATGCCTGCAAGAAGATCAGTCTTCTGAAAATGGCGATGAAGCTGAAATTCCCAATGCCCCTGAAAGTAATGAACTTGGTAAGCAGAATTCCACATTTTAGCTTTTCTAATAATGCTTGCTCAATTTAATTACAACGGTCTGCAAAATAAGAAGTAGATATAATGTGATTTCGCTATAATAGGTCCAAACGACAGAGAAATAGCTACCATGGAAGAAAAAGTGTTGTCAGCTGATAATAACCAAGAGGGTATCAACCATCATTTATCTTCGCATTTGGAGCCTAATGAAGCTGAGGAGGAGAAGTTTCCCGAGACACCTACTTCTGTTGACAGTTCTCACTACTTGCATAAGAAGCTTTTGCTATTCGAGAAGCGAGAGTCAGGGACTGAGGAATCCTTAGATGGAAGTGTGGTAAGTGAGATGGATGCTGGTGACCCAGGTCTTACTGTTGAAAAGCTGAAAACAGCACTTAAAGCTGAAAGAAAAGCTTTTGGAGCATTATATACAGAACTAGAGGAAGAGCGGAGTGCCTCTGCAATAGCTGCAAACCAGACTATGGCTATGATAAACAGGCTTCAAGAAGAGAAGGCAGCAATGCAGATGGAAGCATTGCAATACCAGAGGATGATGGAGGAACAGTCTGAATATGACCAGGAAGCCTTACAACTTCTAAACGAGCTCATGATCAAGAGAGAAAAGGAGAAGCAAGAGCTGGAGAAAGACTTGGAAGTGTATCGCAAGAAGGTTTTGGACTATGAGGCTAAAGAAAAACTGAGAATGATGAGAAGAATCAAAGATGGAAGTATAAGAAGTAGAACTTCTTCTGTTACATGCAGCAACACAGAGGATCTTGATGAGCTGTCTATTGATCTTAATCGTGAAGCAAGGGATGAAGATGGTAGCAGCAGCTTTGGGAACCAAGAAATTGGTAACAATAATACTTCCGGTGATGAAGTTGTAAATTTGCAGGAAATAGCACTGGATTGTGTGAAGCAGATGACTGCACTAGATGATTCAATGGTTGAATTTGAGGAAGAGAGGCTGTCCATCTTAGATCAGCTCAAGGCGTTGGAGGAGAAGCTACTCCATTTGGATGATAATGCAGACATTGAGGATGTGCATTCGGGAGAGCAGTCCTCAAATTATAGCGTCAAAGGATTCGATGAAAGCTATGAAATGGGCACTCCAGAAGAAAATGGGATTTCCATTGAATTGTCAAAGGATGGACATTATCCGGAGAGGAAAACAATGAGTTCCATGGCAAAGAACCTCCTTCCTCTTCTGGATGCTGCTGATAATGACACTGAAGAAGGGTTTGCATTCGATGAAAATGTTGAATCTGAATTTGTTGAAATGGAGAACTCTGTGGTTCCCAAATTTGATTCAGATGAAAAAAAACTAGCCATTGAAGACGAGGTAGATCATGTTTATGAGAGACTACAAGCTCTTGAAGCAGACAGGGAGTTCCTAAAGCATTGTATGAGTTCAATACAGAAGGGAGACAAGGGGATGGACCTTCTCCAAGAGATCTTGACACATCTGCGTGATCTTAGGGCAGTGGAACTCCGGGTGAGGAACATGAGTGAGGATCCTCTGGAGTGAAGTTCCACCTACCAACCATGAAACAGGAGATGAGGTAAATTTTATTTCTTTTCTTGCTAGTCATTACAAGCTGATTTGAACTCTCGGTCAACAAAAGGATCATAATACAACAGGACTTCAAATATCTACAGAGTTAATTTGTTTGACAATCCAGGTCCCTTTCTCATGGATGAGAAGGAAAACTTGCTCCACATCAAGAGCAGGCCAGAAGGTTCGAGGAACTTTACGTTTTCTGCAGATTGCCAGGATATCTCCTGATGGAGCAGAGGATTCCTGGTCTTTAGTTTGTTTCGGTCAGTGAATGATATTCACATACAAAAAAAACTGGAGTCCGCTCCCAATTTCTACATGGTCTTTTTTGGGTTCTACTGAAAAGGTGTCAAGCCCAAAATTTTGCAGTATCTCCTCCTAGCAGCCCTTTCCCAGGCGAAGGAGAAGGACCAAAAGGATTGCACAAGCATACCTGGTTTGATTGTATAGGGTTAGGTTACTTACAAGTAGAGGAAGCTTTATATTTACCTTTTCCGGATCATATTCTTTTGTTTCAGGCAGGGAACGGTTGACAAGGAAGAGAAGGAGGATTAAGCCTTCCTTCTAGTTTTTTGCATTGGTCATGTCATATGGGTTGAAATACCGTGTCAAAAATTGTGAGTGGTGGTTGTCATCAATGTTTTCTATTGCTTTTATACTTCCCTTTCATGGCAATATTGTGGTTTCGACAAATTTCCATCCTGAAAGCGGAAATTGCAACCATTACAGACTCCTATAGATCTTTTTGTATTCTCAACGTATTTGATGTCAAATAATGGAATTTTCCCATGCTGAGTGAAGAAGTATCAGTCCTAAATTTAGAAAAAGTTTGAGACGGTAATTGGTAAATGTCAAGATTTGCAGAAAACTCATCCTCAGGAATCTTTTTTTCTCAGGCATATTAGCCTCCTATCAAACTGAATTATCCAACTCGGTTTTCCGTTCTGCCAAGATTATATTTGTGATATACGGGATCACAATCTATGTGAAGGCATTGTCCTATTGAGGTGATGCAATCCAATCAGCAGACAACCTTGGCATAAGAAAGATTATCGAAAAACGGATGTTCTACGACAATAATAATTTCCATAGATGCACAGAAAAAGTAAGATACAAGGGAATCTAATTATACTAAATCAAATGTGATGTTGTATAAAAAGGTTAAAGCAAAAGAAGAATAAACGGGATTGATTGAATCTGATAAATATGAAAGGAAGCCTGAAAACTAACGAACAAAATTCCAGGAAGAATGTTCATAAAGCTGGCAAAAATCCATTTGTCATGCAAAAATCTATGAGACATCACAATTTTCCAGGTTTTCACAACCAAACAATCCCAAGCATTAAACCAGTTCAACAAACAATTTGGGGTGCGGCTGTGTTTTAGGAAGGGAGACAATAAATATATGGCATTTCATTAATTTTTATCAAGAATTCTGTCACATCATCAAGCTTCAATGAAATCTTATGGACATCAAAATGCAATAGTCCAACTCCCAAAACCTACAAAATTCAATCACCTAAAACCAAAAGTACCTGGCAGCTCCTTAGTACAGGTTAATAAATTACTCTGCCGAAAACTCAAATAACATTGAGTGCTTGTACTTGTCTGCCGGTAGAACAACAACAGAAGGGAAGTTTGGTTGGTTAATGGCATTTGGAAATCCTTGGGTCTTCAAGCACAATCCTGAATGCTTTTCATAAACAGCCCCACCTTTTCCAGCAATACCATTCACATAGTTAGCAGTGTAGAACTGCACACCAGGAGCATCTGCCCACAAGTTCAACATCCTTGAGCTTGAAGGGTCCTTTACTTTGGCTACATGTTTCAATCCTTCCTTCTTTTCCTCAGAGTCAAGGACGTAGTTATGGTCATACCCTAGGCCAGGGACTTCCTTAATCGAGCTTCCAACTTTCTTCTCTGAAGTGAAGTCAAAAGCAGTGCCTTTAACTGGCAAGAGTTCCCCTGTTGGGATTGAGTTCTCGTCCACAGGGGTAATTTGAGATCCTGATATCTGAACCAAATGCTCAAGCACATTCCCAGAGTTGTGACCTGCTAGATTCCAGTAGGTATGTTGTGCTAGGTTAATTGGAGTGATCTTATTTTTAGGCACCGCTTCCATATCCAGCCTCATGGTTTTGCTTGAAGTAAGTGTATAAGTAGCAGTCACAATAACATCCCCTGGGTACCCTGATGACAGAAAAAATTTGGTACATTGATCTGTATGTGATAGAAATGCAAGGGAAATCATTAGAACGAAAAAGGAGCTAACCTTCCTCCCCATCATGACTTTCATACTTGAAGGTAATTGATGGTTTTTCACCATCTTTCCGCTCCACAACGTCCCAAACCACTTTGTCAAAGCCCTTATTCCCACCTGATAAGTATTCCAACAAGCAAGTCATCATAACTTGAAACACTTAATCCAAAAAATTTATGCAAAAATAAATTCCTCACTGTAAGAATCACTACTTCAGCAAGTTCAAGGACTGAAGTTCATCAAATGACAGAGGGTAGGAACTAGGAACCAATTCTTGAATCTACTAACCAGTTATTTTCCAGGTACTATTAATACACAATGTTCGCACTAAAAGGAATCTAAAATGGACATCTTTTTTTCCAATTTTTCCCTCTTCAACACCCCTAAAGAAATGCAGCTAGATATTTTGGGTCAAGGTAAAAAAACTAACATAAAGTGTCATGAATTGAACAGAATATATATTTGAATGGAAAAAATGAGACTCCTGTGCTTGTTGCTAGATTTCAAATCTTCTGGTCTTACTTGTGGGCTTTATTGCAATCAAGTGCAAAAGAATTTACCATTGAACCACATTCAACAGAACCAAGAACCTTAATAAATAAATAAATAACATAATTATTCCACATTAATACATGATCATTGATTCATAAACAATTGAAAGTCATAGGAGTTAATTCTATCATACCATGAAGACTGTTTGGCCCATTGTTCACAGCCAAAGAGTAATCCACCCCATTGAGATTGAATTTCCCCTCTTTAATCCTGTTTGCCACTCGACCCACAATGCAACCAAAAAAAGCCTCATTCCCTTTCTGCTCAAACACAAACCAAAAGAAAACGACATTATTAGTAACCCCCATATGATTGAGCACAACAAATTTCAACTTCATCTTTCAGAAGCTAATCTTCAATGAATAATCAAGAACAGGAGAACACCACCAAAAAAGAAAAGAGAAAAAAGGAAAATCAAAATCAGTCCCCAAATCACCAAACTTCAGTATTTCCCAGAAACCAAACAAAACTTACCATGAAAAACTGTCAAAATCACCACTTTTTGCAGCCAGAGAAAACAAAAAGGACAATCACACTGTAAAACAAAAAGGGTCAACGAAACTTACCACATATGATTCAATCGAGTCAAAACCAAGGACAACATCAGCAACTTTCCCTACAAATCAAACAAAAACACAATCATCACATCAGCCTCCCCTCAATAACAACCAGCGAATCCAAGAAAACTACACCACAAAATTTACTGAAAAAGAATCTGAGAAAGAGAGAAAAAGAACCATTTTTGTCAGGGACAAAAAGCGAAGTGATGGTGGCACCGTAGTTGGTGACAATAACACGAATGGTTCCATTGTTGAGTTCAAAGAGTTCAGCTTTTGAAGCAACAGTACTCATGATTTTGTCTCTTTTTGTGACTATTTTGCAGTGTTACAAGACAAGATCATAAAACAGAGGTTTGGTACAGTAGAAACAGAAGAGGGTTTTTGTTGCTACTTCTGTACTTAGCTAGCTGCGGAGAATCTGAACAATTTGGTGATCAACGGATATGGATAAAAATCTTTGGGAAATGACCAACCTGCCAATATATATGGTGTGATTGCCTAGAGGATTTGACTTCGACTAGGACTCCCAAACGACTTCGTTTTTGTGTAAACTTTTACTTTACGATAATATTTGGATAAGGCAGAAGGGTGTTCCATTGACTTTTTCTTTCTTTTGTTTCCTTTCTTTTTTTATTTTAAAACAATCATAATTTTCCATCAATTTTAGTCTCATTGTTTTTTTTTTTGGATAAATATCATTGGTTATCAAAATAAAATTAAAGCTTCTTGAAATTGCCAATTATTAGCTCAATTAAAAAAAAACATTGGAAGAAGGATTGAAATTTATATTTGTTGGGTTTAAGATTTATAAGGTTTTTTGCGCTTTAAGGATCATTTATGTTCAACATTATCAATAAATAAATCAATCAATCAATCAATAAATAATTAAAAAAATCATCATGATATAAGAAGCTAGCACTTACCTGCACAATTATACTCTAAACTATAGTAAAATGTTTTTTTTACTGTAGCAATAAATAGTTATTACCACTGTTCATTATTGTGCTTTAGTTTTTTTTTTTTTTTTTTGCCAGCACCCTTTGGCTTTTTTGTTTCCCACCCTTCCTTTTTTTCTTTCTTTCTTTCTAAATATTGAACATTTTTTTTAAATTTCCATTCTTTTACTTGTTCACATGAACAATGAAATGACTATCCCTCTCGCTTTTTTACTAAACATTGAATTTTTTTTTTTAATTTTCGTTTCTTAATAATGTTGAGTGTTAAAATTTTAAAGAAACCAACAATTAATTAGGTGTTAATTTTTCAAAGAAACCAACAATTTATTTTCTTTATTATTTATTTCTAAAATTTAAAATATCTAATTTTTCTTTTGGTGTGATCATTTTTTTATTTTCGTTTTTGAAAAGTGAATAGTTTTTTTTTTTTTAATTTTCATTTCTGAATAATGTTGAGTGTTAAAATTTTAAAGGAATCAACAATTAATTGGGTGCTAAAATTTTAAAGGAACCAACAATTTATTTTCTTTATTATTTATTTCTAAAGTTTAAAATATCTAATTTAAAAATTAATTTTTTCTTTTTCAAAAAATAATTATGTCTATAAGCACATAATATCACATAACATAATTTATTAATTAACAATTACATAAGATTTATTTCTCAAAAAAAATACATATATTATAATAAAGAATTTTATTACTCATAGTTTGTCATTTATTACTATTTTCATTTCTTTTAAATTCTCATCCAATTAATTTAAAATTATATTTACTCATAGTTTTGATTTATTTTAATATTATTTTTCTAATTAATAAAAATTAAATTCATATTTTTTCAAAAATCGATATCCTCGTCAACATGAAATAAAAAATAAAATATTTTTTCAATTCTATATAAGCTTTTAGTAATTGTTGTTTTTGTTTTTTTTTTTTTGACACAATCTTATAAAATACTAAAGTTTTTTAAAAAAATTATTTAATTTTTTTTAGTTAATAATCCATGGTTGACAAGGATAAATCCTTTTTGTAAAGAAAAAAAACATAAATAAAAAATAGTTAAATGTAGAATTTTTTATTAAAAAATTGTCATTATTTTTTTACCTTTGATTTTATATATTGTTATAGATTCACACCATAAAACAGATTATTAAATTAAAATAATTTTTTTAAATGATTTTATATATTTTATCCAACCTACATCATAGCGCGGGTTAAAAATCTATTAAGTACTACAAGTTCCAATGTTTTGGAATAGAGGTTTACACCACGGAGATTAGTAATTCCAAGTCTTTTATGAATTAGTTTATAAAGACATATAAAATTTTCAACGAAGGTGTGAATAGAGTTTTTCTTATTTGATTGAAGAGGAAGATTTAATGAGAGTTTGATCCAAATTACCATTATACTATTATACCATGTCTAAAATAATTAATTCAATGTTTTTTTTTCCAGCAATTATATTGTATAAATACTTATAACTCAAGCATATAATGTGACAATATCTAACTAACTTTTCAATAATCTATACGTGTAAAATAAAAAAGTCACTTTTATAAATAAGATATTTTCTAATACTTAAGTTAACTTATACTAAAAAGAATTATAATTGAGGATGTACATGTAGCAAAGAGAGTAAGAAAGCTCCCCCTCACAAAGCTCTCAAGCCATGCATATTATCTTTAAACTCAAAGGGAGACCGATACATGTATTAGTCATGTTGGTTTTTTTGCTCTATTCAAACCAACAAGATCGTGAGGTTATATTTCAATGAGATCTTTTACATTTCTAAAGTGTGTATAGATTGTGTCTCCTATGATGACATCTAACGTTATTTTTACTTTATTGTATAATTTGATATTTATGAGCATTTATTGTAAACATACGATTTATTCTCACGTAGGTCGACATGGATAATTTTCATCGATACTAATGACTCGAGAGTCTAATGTGGCAATTTCTAACTAATTTGGAAATAATATAAACCTGTAAAATAAAGAAGTCACTTCTACATGCGGAAGATCCTCGAATATTTAAGTTAGCTTATAGTAGAAATAATCATTCTTGAGGATGTGTGTGTGTAGTGAAGAAAATAAAGAAGTCCCCTTCTTATTGAACTCTCAAAGTATGTATATACTCTTTAAGGTTAAAATGAGACAAATACATGACATGGAAATACTAGTCTTTCTCGCTCATATCCATACTAATAAGATCGTCGGAAGCTATAGTTCAATGAGATTTTCTAGGTCTTTATATAAGTTGTTCTACAAATAATATGGATTGTGTCTCCTATGATGACATCTAGTGTTATTTTTCCATTATTGCATGATTCGATTTTTATGAGCATTTATTCTAGACTTGCAATTTGTTCTCTACTAGGTTGACATGGATAACATCCATCGATACCGATCACTTGAACTTCTAATGTGGCAATTTCTAGCTAATTTGGCAATAATATAGACTTATAAAATACTTAAGTTAATTTACGGTAGAAAAGATCATTCTTGAGGATGTGTGTGTAGTGGAGAAAATAATGAAGTCTCCTCCTCATTTAGCTCTTAAGACATGCATATACTTTTTAAGCTCAAAAAGGGACAATACATGTCATGGACATGTTGGTTTTTTTGCTTATATTCAAACCAACAAGATCATCGGAAGCTATAGTTTAATGGAATTTTCTAGGTCTCTACAAAAGCTATTCTATAGATAATATAGATTGTCTCCAAGGATAACATCTAGCTTTATTTTTACATTATTGTTGTCATATCCTAAAATTTTACCTTTGTGTATTATTTTAGTTTTCTTTATTTTATTTTTATTATTTAAATTTAGGCTTGCTTTGTATAAAATCAAGACAATATATATATATATATATATATATATATATATATATATATATATATATATATATATATATATATATATATATATATATATATATATAATTTTCTTTTATTTATTTAGAATTCGGAACAAAATTACAAAAAAAAAAAAACAAAAATACAAAAATAATGTAAATTCAATATTCGGGGATTCAATTGTAGTAAATTCTAAATAATTACATTCGTTGAGGATATAATCGAATCATTCAAAGTTTGAGGGTCGGATTACATAGCACGGGGACTAAGTTGACCTAGTAATGATTTTCAAGGACCAAAATTGCAAAATTACAAAAAAATCAAAAAACAAAACAAAACAAAACAAAAATTGTCAACTTGTAGCTGCCTAACTCCTCTCAAGTCAACAATCTCGGCACCCTCTACCTGCTAGCCACCCTACTGCTGCAAATTCCAGCAGCCTACATCACCACACAACCTCCACGAGTGCCTCCAACGACCTCACTGCTTCGACCACACAACTCCCACGGTCCTCCGGACCACTTCCCCCATATCCAAGCAACCTCCAGGTGCAATCCCTCAATTCCTGCAGACCTCACCATGCTGCAATCGGCAAGCATCGCACAGCCTTTCCCCTATTACCAGACTCTACCACAACCATCCCCTACAACCCAAAAACAAATGGTCACACACGCCCACTCTAAAAAACCTACGAGAAAATCCCCCACCATCATAGTGGGAGAACCAACCAAGCATTCAAAAAAGACTCATATATATAAATAGCAAGAAGCACAAACAAAAGGGATCCGAAAATCAATTCAAAATATTGGAAAGAAATCAAACTAAAAAAAAAAGAAGGAAAATCGAAACCGAAAAGAGGAAACGGAAAAGGAAAGAGAATTTTACTCCAATTTTTGCTGAAGCGACGGTGACCCGGAGAAGGTTTTTTTTCTTCATCTTCAATTCGGATTCTCCTCTAGGTAAGCCACCCCTAATTCATCTCAATGTAAATTTATTTTTTCGTAGAATTAATGACGGTGATGTTCATCACTCGTCATCCCCGAATTTCCCCTCAATCGGACTCATATATGTTTTGCTTTTTCACTCAATTAGAAGATGAATTGAATTCAAACCCAAATGCTTTTGGGTTTTGAATTTGAGAATTGAATTGAATTTTTGAGAATTTCGGGGTTCTTGACAATTTGAGTTCCGAATTTGGGGTTTTTGTTGATTGGTTTGAAATTGAGGTTAAGGAATCAAAAGGAAGGCTAATTAAAGTTGGGCGGGGTTTCAATTTAGGATTTAAGTCTCAAATGGAGATCGATTTAAGATAAAAAAAAATTAGGGTTCCCGAGCTTTCAAACCAATAAAATTGGGGGTTTTCAAGAAATGGGTTCCTAATAAGTGGGATTGGGTTCGATTTAAAGAGAAATTAATCCAATCAAGGCCAATCGGATGAAAATTTGAAGAATTGAAAAAATAGGGTTCGATCGAATTGGG